TGCTGCCCCCTCCACTGGGTTGCACTGGGCTTTACTGGGTCTCCCCTGGGCTCTGAGGAGTGTCTGCCCCTACACAGAGGATGGGAGCAGCGTGTACCTCCCAAATGTCCCTTTGCTACAGCAAACCCAGGGCGAGCTGGCACCAAATGTGTACCCAGAGAGTTCTGGGGGGGAACACGCTGCTGGTGGGTGGGATCCAGCACCCAGGGAGACCCTGGCGTCCCCCCCTGCGGCTGGGGCCAGGGCAGCGGGTGCCAGCCTGGGCCGCGGCCCAGCTCTCGGTGCCAGCAGCGATTACGGGCGATGTTCTGGACGTGGAATTTGGTGGAAATGCAGCTTTTGTTGGGTGTACCCATGTCCCCAACACAGCTGTGCTGGGGACCGCCCGGGAGCGGGGACGAGTGCTGGATTTTGGCCTCTTTTCCCCCTCAATTTGTACACGGGACCCTGCTGTGGGGACAGGGGCTGGGCTGGGACTCACTAGAGGGCACCAACAGATTTGGGATGGGATGGGATGGGATGGGGAAGGATGGGATTGGATGGGGCTTTTCTGGAGGTCTCCCAGAGTGCCCAGGGCATAGGGGGGTCTATGGGGGCCATGGGGCACCCAGGGGATTGGTGCTGGGGTCACCTATGGTGACTGGGCAATAAGAGATCTTGGGGGGACTGCCAGGACACCCAGAGGGATGTGGTTGATCTGTGGGGCCACCCCAAATGGTGTGGGGCCACCCCACAGCCAGGGACACAGCAGGACCCTGGCCCCATAACCCCTCTGGGGTAGAACTCCCCATTCCCACAGCATGGGGCAGGAGGATCAGTGGGTCCCCTTGGCCAGGACCAAGCAAGCTGTGAGTGTGCACCCCAAAACCATGCCTGGGGCTGGGGTCTTCCCCCTGCGCTGCCAGGAGCCCGGCTCCAGCTTCTCCTGGGTCCAGATTTCGCTGATCCTCCCCGGCATGCGCGGCAGCGGCACACGGGGTCCGGCACACGCTGTTCCCATTGCAGTGCAGGTGAGCCAACAGATGTGAGCAATTACGGGCCCATTCTCAGTCTCCCCAGGACCTGCCAAATTTCGGGCTCGGCAGCGAAGGAACAACCGCGGCTTTGTTCGGTTTTACGTAACAGCCCGGTCCCCGCGTGCCCGGGGACGCTGCCAGCGCCATGGCTCACACGAAATACAGCCCCCAACCCGCGGTCCCCAAATCTCTCAGCTATTACGTCCTCAGCCCCAAGCCCTGCGAGCCCCCAGCCTGGTACCCCTGGACATCCCCTGGGAATGGAGTGGGGTCCCCAGGAGATGCCAGGAGTTGGGGGGATGTCCCTGTTGTCACTGCTGTCCCCCCTTACAGCAAGGCGGAAGCGGAGGCCATGGAGAAGGAGCTGCTGGAGGATTACCGCTTCGGGCGGCAGCAGCTGATCGAGATCTGGGGACACGCCTGTGCCATGGCTGTCACCAAGGTGAGGGGGACAGCGGGGTTGGGGACACCCCCCTGGAGGCCAGGGACTTTGCTGCCGCCTGCTCTGCCATCCTCCCCCCACCCCATCACCTTGTGTGGCCTTTCCCACTCTGGTCCCCCCCTGCCCCACAGCAAGTCATGGGGACGTGGGGCAGGGCCGTTTCCATTCCCCAACCCTCCGTGTTATATCCCCCAGGGGTAATCGGGCTCATGCAAGACTGTGGGTCCCACTGTCATGGGAGGGGGACATTGAGGAGTTCCCCATGCCCTGGCAATGCTTGACCATTGCTGGGAGCCCCCAGTGCTGGTTCTGGGCGTGAGGAGGAGGAGGAGGCGGCATCAAGGGCAGCTTTGTGCCATGGAGGCCGGGGAGCCCCACACCGCCCAGCTCAACTTTTCCATCCGAGGCAGCTGGGCTGTGCTGTGCCCTCCCCAGTCCAAGAGCAGGGAGTGCCCAAGGTGGGAAATATTGGGGTGGTGGAGCCCCTTTGGGTCCTAGAGCCTCCCTGGTCCCATGACATGGGGCTGCCCACCCCCTTGGCAACTCCCCGGCTCCACCGCCAGCCCCAGGGAGGGGACAGCGGTGCTGAGCATCCTCCTCATGGGGCCAAGCATCCTCCTCCTCTTCCTCCTGGGGCTGAGCCAGGCAGAGCACCCCCAGTCCCCCAGGGTCCCCAGCACCATCCCCCTGTGTGTCCCCGGGAGCCCCATGGAGCTGGGCTCGATCCAGGGAGTGCGGCTTCAGCTGCACACGGGCTGTGCCGCCCTGGTGGCTGGACGGGACCTGGAGCCAGGTTCTGTGAGCAGGAAAAAATCCGTCAGGGATAAACAGAGCCTCCCTGCACAGGCTTTGGTATGCGAGCATGGCCACCTCCCTGCAGGCTGGCGGGGGGCCCTGTCCTACCGACGGCATCATCCCTGGCCTGGGCATCGTCTTTGTCCCACCTTGGGCACCATCTGCATCCCATCACGGGCATCATCTTCATCCTGCTGTGGGCCACATCCTGCCATGGGTGCCATCCTCATCTTCCTGTGGGTACCATCCCCATTCTGCTGTGGGTACCATCGCCGTCTTGCTGTGGGTGCTGTCCTCCTCCTGCTGTGGGTGCCATCTCCATCCTACCACGGATGCCATTCCCAACCTGCCGTGGATGTTGTCCCCATCCTCCCATGGGTCCCATCCCCATCTTTCCTTGGGTGCCATCCTCACCCCACCTTGGCCATCGTCCCTGTCCCACCACACACCGCACTGCCCACCCAGCAGCACGTCCCCACTGTGGGTCCATTCACCCCTCAAGCCCTGCTCCCCCTGCCCTGTCCCTGCTGCTGGCTGCCCACCCATGGGGACGGGGCTGGTGGCAGCGCCATGTCCCACGTCCCCTCCGCAGGCCTTCCCGCGTCCGTCCCTGCCGCGGAAGCAGCCCACGGTGCTGGTGGTGTGCGGGCCGGCACAGAACGGGGCCATCGGGCTGGTGTGCGCCCGCCACCTGCGCATCTTTGTGAGTACCTTCCTCCCCTCCTCTTCTTCCTCCTCCTCCTCCTGGACAGTGCCAGGTCCATCACTGCTCTCTACCACGCAGGACTACGAGCCCACCATCTTCTACCCCAAACGTTCCCCGGACCCCCTGTACCGGGACTTCACCACGCAGTGCGAGAAGATGGACATCCCCTTCCTCTCCTACCTCCCCACTGAAGTAAGCCCCTGCAGCAGCAGTCAAGATTAAGTTTATTATCCTTTTTATTTTTTATTTTTTTTATTTTATTCTTCCTCGGCTCTGCTGGGAGCCCAGGGATGCCAC